AAAATCTTAAAAAAAAAAAAAAAAAAAAAAAAAAAGAGTGTGGAAGTTTTGAAAGAATAAAATATTGATTTTCTAGATATAGCTCCAAGGTAAATGATAATTTATGAATATCAAAATTAGGTGCAACTATGTTTATTCATAAAAGATTATGTTTCGCACATTTTGAGATCGGAAAGAATGGGAGGGGGGAAGCAGGAAAATTCTTAGTAAAGAATACTTTTCCCCTCCCAATTTTCCTTTTCTGCCTCTCCTTCTCCACCCCAGCATTTCACATCTCTAGGAGACACTATGAATTACTAGCTCCATTTTCCCAGAGTGTGCAGTATATGAATGAGAAAATTACACTTGTGACCAAAATTTCATAGATAATCTTTTAAAAAGTAATTTTCAGATCAATTATACCTTCTCTATTTAGGGATCTGGTTGCCTCAAAGTTTAAGAGTATTGAAATGCTACTTTTTTCATACCCACCCTAAACTTGGATGAAAGGGGCTTGGTGAGGGGGAAGGTAAGATAACACTGATTTTTATCTGACGTTTTTCATGTCAGTTAGTTTCAGAATTATTTAAAACAGAATTGAAAGGTGAAAACAACCCAAGTGTCCATACACAGGTGAATGGTTAAATAAAATGTGGTATATAAATACAATAGAGTAGTATTCAGCCATAAAAGGAATTACATTCTGGGGCCAGCCCTGGTGGCCTAGTGGTTAAGTTCAGTGTGCTGCACTTTGGCACCCCGAGTTTGGTTCCCGGCACAGACCTACACTGCTCTGTTAGCGGCCATGATGTGCTGGTGGGCCACATACTAAAAAATAGAGGAACACTGGCATGGATGTTAGCTCTGGGCTAATCTTCCTCAGCAAAAAAAAAAAAAAAAAAATCTGATAGATGCTACAACTTGGATGAACTTCGAAAATATTATGCTAAGTGAAATAAGCTAGACACAAAAAGACAACTATTGTATGATTCCGTTTATATGACTTACCTAAAATAGGCAAATTTATAGAAACAGAAAGTAGAATAGAGGTTACCAGAGGCTGGGAAGATGGGGGAATGAAGAATTATTGTTTAGTGGATACAGAGTTTCTATTTGGGATGATGAAAAAGATAGTGGTGATGGTTACACAATATTGTGAATATACTTAATGCCACTGAATTGTACACTTAAAATGATTAAATGGTAAATTTTATGTATATTTTACCACAATAAAAAAATAGTTAAAAAACCCCAGCATTGAAGAACTGAAAGGTGGCCGTCATCACACTTATTGCTCTAGCAGTGTGCGACCCTATCCCCTCCTAACTCAGGGTGCTGTCCCATCCTAGGAAATGTGTCTCTGTGAAGGAGCCATAAACAGTTGTGCTTTTTGTAACCCCAGTAGGGGAGAACAATCGTCCTCTTCTGATAGAGTTCCCTCAAGTCTACCTCTGTTTGAAAATCAAGTTCATAACCATAAATGTGATTAGTAGTCTCACGTATAAGATTTGAATTTTTATTTCATTTGAGATTTTTATAAGGACACCAATGTTAGCTGGAGTTTTTTGTGGGTCTAGAAACTAACCTTTCTAATTGAACATTCATTCAACAAACATTTATTGAGCACCTACTTTATAGGGACACTAAACTTAGCTAACTAGGATGGGTAAGACAGTCCCTGCCCTTGAGGGGTCTGCGTCCAGCTGGGAGAGACAAACATGTAAATAAATAAGTACACTAGTGAGTGTCACAGGTGCTTTGATAAAGAATCTACCTGTGCAGGCCCAAAGAGACCAAAATCTATTACAAGCTCAGTGTTGGGCAGATATTCCATTCAGTGTTGAGTCAGTGTTTCCTCCATTAATTATTTGCTCCTCAAATTACTACCAAAATGATGACAGGTAGTGAACTACTTCATATGTACACACTTTGACTAAAAGAAATGTATTTATAGGGGGGAAATCTCAACATCATACTTTGTAATAAGTAGAGCAACATTTTCAGAGAACCCCAATGCCATTTGAATGCTATCTACTATATAAATTGACTATTACATACTCACAAGATAATTCTAAGCTGGTGTTCTGTCCCTATCATCAACCCAGGACTTGCGGTTCGCTTTAATTCCCCCATTCCAGTGCTGAGTACACAGGGAATGCAAATTATTATTATGAGCCAAAATAAAATTACCATAGGCAAAGAATGATTACCTGAGCATCTGAATTGAATTCTCCATAACTAAATAGCCGGGACCTTAATTCCAGTTCTGCTGCCTTTTCCTCTTCTCTCACACAGTTAGCCTTCAGCATTTCCTTCTGCTCCAAAAGAAACTCTATGTTGCTATTTCTATTACAAAAGAAGAAAGAGACCCCTGTCTGTAATTTGTGGTTTAGTGAAATAAACCATCAGTCAGGAGCTTCAACACCTTCCGGATCATGTGTCAACATTCTATGTCTAGCAGTCCAAATACAAATTTATATTTTAAGACATTGCTGAAGTACATGCAACTTTTCAGGTTAAAAAGAGAAAAATAAATGCACAGATGCTGCCTTTAACTTCCATCAGGAAGCATTTTCTTCCCCTCCCCTATTTTTGTGATTCCCCCTAGTCCCCTAAATGGCAGCCGAGTTGAGGTGTCAGGAACCCAAGTTGTGGTATGACCTATTATGTCAGTGTTCTCAAACCTGGCTGATAATCAGAATATTTGGGAAGCCAAAGGGAAAAATAGAGACTCCTGACTCCCTCACCTAGAGATTCTGATATAGATCTTCTAGAGATAGATTCTGACATAGATCCCCTTTTCCTGCCCATCCATACCCACCCCACCCCCAAAAATCATATTGTCAGGAGTGAGGGGCACTATACACTGTGAGGACTGGGAGAGAGAAGACAAGGATTAAAAGGATACAGTAGTTGTAATGAGTGGCTATAAGATTATGATTTTTAGGTTCTTAACTTCTGAACAAGTTAATTTGTTCTAAAGTTCAATGTAGTTTGACCTACTACTTAAAAGATTGCCATCTTCTGGCCCAGAAAACTGTTCTGAAAAAGGTTCTACACATTTTTTAAATGGGTAGATACAAAGGTCTATTCTCTGCGACTTGAAGCTATTTTCCAAAATTATAATATAAAATTTTAGAGTAGGAAGGAATTTTGTGAGTCATCAAGTCCAGCCTCCTTGCCCTGACAGAAATCTCTTTTATAATAAACCCAATATATCAGTATGTACATTATAAAATGATATAATATTTAAGTCACCAAAAAAATGTTTTGCTGAAAGTCAGAGCCAAGGAAAATGCATTTATTAGCATTATCATCTAAAGCATGATTTGATTAGCCAGATGATAGGGTGAACCTACATTGAATAAAAATTAAGGCAGTAGGTGACATTTCAGTTCTTTTTAATCTTTTAAACTGTCTTTTATTATTATTAGCTGGGAAAATATTTTGAAAGACGAAAGGAAGTAGACACTAAAACTAAAGCCAGTTGATTCTGTGTCAATGTAACTTCTACCTTTTACACTCTAAGTGTAAGCTATTAATAAAAATCTCACCCTAAATCCAGAGAATCTGCAAGCAAGAGCCACGCGTGAATGAGTTGAACTCTGTCTCTGGTTAGAAATTGCTTAATAGAATCAATCCACTTGTTTTGAGTGACTTACATTTTATCCTGTATGAGTTTTTCTCTTTTATTTACGTCTTCAAGATTTTCATCTACGTCTTGGGAATATTGTACCAAAGTAAGATTCTGCTCTTCTAGCTCTGTGAAGACTTGAAGTAGCTCTTCTGGTTCTTTGAAATAAAGCTCTGGCTCCTGATCAATCAATAACGAAGAATGTAATTCACTTAAAAATATGCTACCTATGTAAGTGTGACTTATCCAGAAAAATGCAGTGGGGTAAAGGAAGACCATTCTGATTATGAGGAAAACGTGGGTAGAGAATGGCAAAGGAGCCTATTTGCACGTGAGAGCTGGCCCTCAGGAAGAGGACATTTGGGGTGTTGGGGAGAGATGAAAGGTACTAGAGAAGAGAAAAAGGAAGACGAGGGTGAGGAAAAGAGAAAAAGGGGTCGAGCAGAAGGGGCAAGGGCAGGCAAAGAGGAAAGGTGGGTCTAGGGAGAGGCAAGGGAGAAGGAACAGAAGAAAGAGAAAGACAGGAGGCTAAATGAAGGTCATTTTCTCCCCACATTTTAATTCTAAATTTTTCAAAATTTTAAGAATAAGAATCTATTACTTTAATAAATTTAATTTTTAAAGAGATGACTTGGGTATTTGCACACCCATATTCATCATATTTACTATAGCTAAGAGGAGGAAGCAACCTAAGTGTCCATGGATGGATGAATAGATAAAGAAAATGTGGTATACCCATACAATGGAATATTACTTAGCCTTAAAAAAATAAGGAAATCCTGTCACATGATACAACATGGATGAACCTGGAGGACATTAGGCTAACTGAAATAAACCAGTTACAAAAGGAGAAATACCACGTGATTCCACTTCTACGAGGTATCTAAAGTAATGAAACTCTTAGAAACAGAAAGTAGAACGGTGGTTGCCAAGGGCTAGAGGGAGGGGGGAGAAGGGAGTTGTTCAATGGGTTTCAGTTTTGCAAGGTGAAAAAGTTCTAGAGATCTGTTACACAACAGTGTGCATATAGTTAATACTACTGTACACTTAAAAATGGTTACGATGGTAAATTTTACGTTTTTCACCCCAATTAAAAAAAAGATGACTTGGGTAAGGCATGTAATGGATGGTGTTTTTAAGTGTTTTTTGTTCCTTTTGAGTTTCTGTGGTTGTATTTAGGATGTGGTTAGCTCAAAGTGAGTCTTATAGTAATAAAGCACTGTTTTGTTGAAGGTTGATTTATCTTACAGTTCAGCTATCCCATATATCTCAAGCCCCAATAAAACCATAAGCAATCAGAAAGCGGCTATTTTTATAGGAAGACTGTAGATAATATATATCTCCTAAGTTATTACCTTCTTATAGACATTTATTTTTCATAAAATGTCTGATGACAAAAATGAACTATATATACAATTGGGGAACAGTGTCAAAATCATATTTCCTTCTGAGAAGTTGTGGAATATTTGGAATAGGAAATTTTAATTTCAAAAGAAGAAATGAGCATCTATACTTTTCACCAAACACAATATTTATATCATGAAATATAATCTGGTTACCAGGTCATAGTCTATATCATCATCTAAAAAGAATTCCAAACTGTCTTCTGAACTGATACTTTCAGCTCGGCTGTAAAAGAAAAAAGAAAAAGAAAACGCCTGATTTCTGAACCATTTTCTATCAACAGATTTGCTTTCGTTTCTAAATTGTCTTTGGAACCTAACTTATAAGACAGTTCTTTTCAATAGCCTGTTTAGCCTTTTAGGGGACTCCTGATTGCAGGAATCGATGGATTCCATGAGTATGCCAAAGAAGATCAGATTCAGTAGATCAGATTCAGTCCCAGACCAGGGTGACATATGCAAACAATTGAGACCACAAGGAAGGGCCATACCGTACAGTACCAAATATTTGAGGTGCATTTGTAAAGTAAGGCAATGTTTTTTTTAGAAACACATGACAAGCTACGTTGCCATACCTGTTTTGTCCCTTTTAATGCAATCTTCTTGAGAAACTAAACATTTGCTCTAGTGCTCAAAACAAAGCTTGTAATACAATATTTGTCTTTTGAAGAGCAGATTTTTCTTTCTAAAATATCTTCCAGTCAGGTTGATGAAATGTTGGTTGGGGGGATGGGCAATGAGGTACATCCTTAGAGAATAATTATGTGGCTTGGAGAGTAGCTCTGGAAAAATCATTTGAGGAGGATACATTGAAAATGATTGGAGGGACCGGCCTGTGGTGTAGCGGTTAAGTGCGCGCGCTCCGCTGCTGGCAGCCCGGGTTCGGATCCTGGGCGCACACCAATGCACTGCTTGTCAGGCCATGCTGTGACGGTGTCCCATATAAAGTGGAGGAACATGGGCACGGATGTTAGCCCAGGGCCAGTCTTCCTCAGCAAAAAAAGAGGAGGATTGGCATGGATGTTAGCTCAGGGCTGATCTTCCTCACAAAAAAGAAAGAAAGAAAGAAAATGATTGGAATATTAAGGAGGCAGGAACCAGGGAGAGAGTAAGGTGGCTGTTGGTGTGACATAGGTAATTAACGCTTGAGGTAGAGGGTAGTGATGATGGGAAAAGTGAGTAAATGGGTGGGGGGAGGGAGGAGAATCTAGAGATACATGAAATAATGAAGTCATGGGAACCAAGAAGAGAAAGAGCCGCTGGGGCCAGAAAAGAAGAGACAAAGATGACTCCAATATTTGTAGTCTGTGAGCCTGGAATAATGGAGCTAGCACTAACAGGAAGGAAAGCAGTTTAAGGATGGGATAAGAAAAAGATTAATATTTGCTCATGTTGAGTTTAAGGGGACAAAATACCTAGCTGGAGCTAGGCTTCGAGCAATGAGAAATAAGGTGTGGGAAAACAGAAAGGGCCATAGAAGTAAATAAATATTTGGGAAACATCCCCTGAGAAAGCATTGATACTACTGCCCACCCCACTCTTCTCTTGGATTCAGTGATATAATTTTCTAATCAGTCTTCTCTCACCTCTCTGAAACTTTTGTTACCCTTTTGGTTTCGTTTTTTACACATATGTCTTTGGTTCCTCAGCCTTCTTCCCCTCTTATTCTGCCCATTCTTGCAGGGTGATCTCATCCTCTCACAGATTCAACCACTGCTAATATACTAATGACTCCCACATCTCTCTCTTTCTCTTGAGCTCTAGACTTCAATGTCCAACTTCCAACTGGACATCAGTATCCACTTGGCTGTCCCTGGGGGAGCTAAAACTAGCACATCCAAAACCACACTCCTTATCTTCCCTTAGCGCGTTCCCAATAACATTGAATGACAATGCCGTACCCCCAGTTGCCATGCTAGAAATTTGGGAGTTATCTTTGACTATGCTCTTTTCCTCACACTTCTCCCAATCTTTATGCAAGCCTTTCAAAGCCTGTCAATGCCACTTCTCTGATGTGTCTCACAGCCTTTCCTTCTTCGTTTCCACTGCCACTATCTGATTGAGACAGTTCATTATCTCTCACCTAAATTGTGACAACAGGCTCCTAACAAGCTCCTCTACCTCGAATTTTGTCCCCTGCATTTCATTCTCTAAAATACTGATACATCCAATTTTCTATAATGCAAACTGATTGGTTCTCTGTCATACTTTTGCTTAAAACCCTCAGTGGCTCGCCTGGGCCCTAGAGACAAAGCACAGACTCCTTAGGATGACATCACTGCTTACCTGCTATGATGCAATACCTGTTTACCCCTCGAACCTCTCCCACTCTCACCCTGTGGCCCAGCCATTCTGAATAGAGCCAAGCTCTGCCACCTTTGTGCCAGGAGGCCCCTCCCTCTTCCAGAGCTTGTCCTCATTGACTCCTCCTCCTCTCATCAGACTCAGCCTAGATGCCACCTGTTCTGGAGAGTGTTTGCTGATCCTGCCCTTGCTTTCGCACTCCCTGTCCTCTCCTCTGGGTTAAGAGTCCTTCCTTCGCATGCCTGTGGCATTCTGAGTTTATCCTTCCAATGGCATTATCATACTATATTATAACTGACTAATCCCTTGTCTGTCTTCCTCACTAGATGGTAAGCTCCTTGAGGGCAGAGACTTTCTTTTATTTATTGTTGGGCCTGTAAGGCACTCAAATATTTGTTGAGTGAATGAAAGAAACTAAGAGTTGTGAACTTTCTGAGGGAGTGAATGTGATGTGTGCATCAATAGATGCAGAAAAGGCATTTGGCAAAATTCAACACTCATTTATGATAAAAAACTCTCAGAAAAACTGGAATAGAGAAGATTTCCTCAACATGATAGAGTATCAACATCTACAAAAGTCCTAACATTTTACCTAATGGTGAAAGCTTGAATCCTCTTAAGAGTGGGAATAAGGCAAGGATGTCTGCTCCCACTACTCATATTCAGCATAGGAAGTTCTACCTACTGCAGTAAAGCAAGAAAAGGAAAGAAAAGGCATACAGATCACAAAGGAAGAAATAAAACTATACCTGTTTGCAGATGGCATGATAATCTTCATAGAAAATCCAAAGAAATCTAAAAAACCACCAAAAGAACAAAAACAAAATCCCTGGAACCAATAATGAGTTCAGCAAGGTCAGAGTAGACAAGATAAAAATACAACAATCAATTGTATCTCTATATACTAGCAAGGGACACTGAAATTAAAAATACAATATCATTTACAATTGCTCAAAAAGAAACAAGTAGAAAAGAAATACTTAGGTGTAAATCTAACAAAACTTGTGCAGGACATGTATGCTGAAAACTATGTAAGGCTGATGAAAGAAATCAGAAAAGATCTAAATAAATAGAAAGACATACTATGTTCATGGGTTGGAAGAGTTAACATAGTAAAGATGTCATTTCTCCCCAGACTGATATACAGGTTTGTATTACTTTCCTAGGGCTGCTGTAACAAAGTATCACAAATAGAGTGGCTTAAAACAACAGAAATTTACTCTCTCACAGTTCTAGAGGCTAAAAGTCCAAAATCAAGGTGTCAGTAGGGCCATGCTCTCTCTGAAGTTTCCAGGGAAGAAACTGTCTTATGCCTTTCTCTTAGCTTCTTGTGTTGTCAGCCATCCTTGGCATTCCTTGGCTGTATCACTCCAATCTTGGCCTCTCTCCACACGTGGCATTTTCCCTGCATCTCTGTGTCTCTTCTCTTCTTATAAGGACACCAGTCATATTGGATTAAGGGAAATTAATGACCTTAATGACCTCATCTTAACTTGATTATATCTACAAAGATCCTATTTCCAAATAAGGTCACATTTATAGATATCATGGGTTAGGACATTAACTTATCTTTTTGGAGACGTGATTCAACACATAACCAGGTTTAACACAATTCCTATAAAACTCCAGCAAGGTTTTTTTGTAGATATAGACAAGATTAATCTAAAATTTATATGGAAAGACAAAGGAACTAGAGTAGTTAACATAATTTTGAAAAAGAGAAATAAAGTACGAAGAATCAGTCTACCTGATTTCAAGACTAATAGCTACAGTAATCAAGACCATGTGTAGGGACAGCCACATAGACCAATGGAACAGAATAGAGAATCCAGAAACCGACCTGAACAAATATGCCTAACTGATTTTTGACACAAGTTCAAAAGCAATTCAGTGCAGAAGCCATTTCAGCAAATGGTGCTGGAGCAATTGACATCCATAGGAAAAAAAAAAAAAGAATCTCAATTTAAACATCACATCTTATACAAAAATTAATCTAAAATGGATCATGGACTTAGAGGTAAAACTGTAAAACTTTTAGGAGAAAATATGAAAAAAAAATCTTTGGGATCTAGAGCTAGGCAACAAGTTTTAGACTTCACATAAAAAGCATGATCCACAAAAGAAAAAACTGATCATCAAAATTTAAAATATTCGCTCTACAAAAGACCCTGTTAAGAGGGTAAAAGGACAATCTACGGACTGGGAGAAAATATTTGCAAACCACATATCCACAAAGGACTAGTATCTAAATATATAAAGAATCCTCAAAATTCAACAGTAAAAAACAAAGACAAAAATAGACAATCCAGTTAGAAAATGAGCAAAAGATGGGAAGAGACATTTCATCAAAGAGGATATAAAGATGTAAACAAGCACATGAAAAGATGCTGAACACTATTAGCTACTAGGGAAATGCAAATTAAAAGCACAATAAGATATATACATCATCAGAATAGCTAAAAAAAAAAACCAAAACAAAACAGTGAAAATACCAAATGCTAGAGGGGATGTAAAGAAACCGGATCCCTCATATATTGCTGGTGGGAATGTAAAATGGTACAGCCGCTCTGGGAAACAACTTGGCAGTTTTTTTAAAAGACTAAACATGCATCTACCATTCAATTCAGCAATTGCACTCTGGGCATTTATCCCAGAGAAATGAAAACTGTGTTCACAAATATATGTATAACAATTTTATTCATTATAGCCCCAAATTGGGCACAATCCAGATATTCTTCAAGGAGTGAATAGTTAAATTGTAGTTCATCTATACCATAGAATACCACTCAGCAATAAAAAAAGAACCAACTATTGACAGACCCAACAGCGTGGATGAATCTTCAGAGAATTAGGCTTAGTAAAACATCCAATCCCAAAAGGTTACATACTGTGTGATTCCATTTATATAACATTCTTGAAATGACAAAACTCATAGAAGTGGAGAGCAGATTAGTGGTTGCAGGGGTTAAGGGGAGGTGGAAAGAGGTAAATATGACTATAAAGGGACAAATGAAGAATCCTTGTGGTGATGTTTTGTATTTGATTGTATCTTGACTGTATCAGTGTCAGTATCCTAGTTGTGATATTGTATTACAGTTTTGCAGGATGTTACCATTGAGGAAAACTGGGTAAAGGATACAAGGGATCTCTATTATTTCTTACAAGTGCATGTGAATCTACAATTATCTCAAAATAAAATATAATTAAAAATAAAACAAAACAGTCACTGCTAAATGCCACAGAAGTGGAGCAACCCTACGGGCCCTGGAATTCAGAGCACAGTGTCTTTGTTGACTTTTGTCATGTGTGATTGTCATGGATACTGTGGTGCTGGCCCAGATCCTTTCCTCGGGGCCTGTGTACCCATCCAGGGCATCACTATAGTTTCTTAAAGTTCCCTTGGGGTAGCCAGGGTTGAGAACTAACAATTTCTGAAACAATGAGTACAAATGAGTCAACAATCAAGTAAGAGAAGAAACAAACAAACAAAAATGCTTCATGGTCCTTTGCCACAATTTTGAATTACGTGGTGAAATTGCAAACACACGGCCCAGCAGAGTAGCTTAATAAACAACTGAGCAGTGGATTCTGAGAGGCAAAGACCCAAGATGCAGGGGGCAGGCAGTTCCTGCAAACAGCAGTTGCAGGCACCCATGAAAGAATGCAGGGAGGCCTGTGAGAACTGGGTCACCTCAGGAGCGCACAGAAAACAGCAACCACTACCTCCATTATCTCTTACAATGGGTGTGGATACGTGGTATATACGTTGAAGAAAGCCTAAAAGACATTTGCTAAAAAACATTCACAGTTTCCAAGAGAGTTAATCAAGTATGTACTGTACTTTGATAAGGAAGATTTCTTATTCTCTAGGATGAGAGCAGACTTCTTGTCTAGTTTTCCTGTTCAGAATGTCCAGGCGAAGTCCACGTCATTGGTGAAGGTAGAGGTGAAAAGAAATAATGTGTAATTAGAAATGAGTCCTCGTTACTTGGTGCAAGATATTTATTTTTCTACATGGATATGTCCATTACTTTATTATTATTATTATTATTATTATTAGAATGATAATCATATAAAAATGTAGCTCTTTTATTCTACTGAAATTGGGTTCCAAGTATAAGAATAAAATCAAAGGCATTGGTTTGGGGGGGATGCATATTGTCAAAAACATGATACAACCTTTGAAGGTCACAAATCAGGGACATAAATATAAGTGAAATATAAGTCATGGTTCTATTTTTATCTAATCATATATATTTCTAACCACAGATTTTTTTTAAATCAAGGGAAAAAATAAAAACGATGGGACACTTTAATCATTACATCTTGTGGAGAGACCCACTATTGCCACATACAAGTCACCCGTGCACCTGTTCCCCCCACACCTACATGCACTTGTTCCCCGCACATCAATGGCTGGGCCTGATCCTGGCCTGAAACTGAGAAGTGGGCAAAATTGGTCTTGGATCTCTTCATCCACTGGCCCCCAGGTCCCCTCGCAAATCATGTTTCCTCACGCCAGCACTCTTAGGACTTCCAACCACTCTCCTGCTATTCTTCTGTCTTGAAACCACACCCTCCACCTGGCAAGCTCCTTCTTATTCTTCAAAATTCAGCTCAAATGTGACCTCGACTTAAAGACTCTTATAAATGCCTCATGCAGAGATCACATTTTTGGCTTTTGCCCCCAGAGCCCTCACTATCTATCACTACTGTATTTCTCATCCCACTGTATTGTACTGTATGGTTCTGGGGTGTAGAACTCTGTCCTATTCATCTTTGTGTACTCAGAGTCTTGAAAAGTGCCTGATATGTTGTATGCCTCCAATAACTATATGGTGATTGGAGGAAGGAAGGAAAGAAAGTAGATGAAGAACCAGATGGATTCCACCACTGCCATAAATTACCATCTTAGTGTTTTTGTTTTTGTGAGGAAGATCAGCCCTGAGCTGACATCTATTGCCAATCCTCCTCCTTTTTTTTCCCCCAAAGCCCCAGTAGATAGTTGTATGTCATAGTTGCACATCTTTCTAGTTGCTGTATGTGGGACGCGGCCTCAGCACGGCCGGAGAAGTAGTGCGTCGGTGTGCGCCCGGGATCCGAACCCGGGCTGCCAGCAGTGGAGCGCACGCACTTAACCACTAAGCCACGGGGCCAGCCCCACCATCTTAGTTTTTAAGCTGATACCCGAACACATATTACTAAAAAGTCTTGTTAAGGGATGTTATTTAAACTGAATGACTTCTATATTCAAGATTTCAAAGAGAAGAGAACATTGGTGCCACCACCCACTCTCTCCACCCACTTCCCCCATGCCCTGCTCCAGATCCTCTAACAGGCAAAGTGATATGTCTTAAATAATTTGGGTCCAAATTGGCCTCACAATCCAAAAGAATTCTCTTTTTCAATCAGCTGGCCAAGTGCACAGGCAAAAGACTCATATCAGGGTCGTTTTTGAGCAGGTAAATTACACCCTTGAGCTTTACCCCCACCACTAAATACATCCAATGGTTGACAGCAGGATAAAGGAGAAAAGGAGTCACCAAGGGTCAGCCTGCATTGGAGTTGCAAGCTCGAATGACTACAGGGCAGGGCAGGTTGAGATTGAAGGAGTTCTCAGAGTTGATTGTGGGCATGGTAGAGCTACCTCAGTTTTCCCTGGTTACTTCCCTGAGTCACTGGCCAATGGCAGTCACCTGGTTGCAACTGACCTGGTTTGCTGGGATCTGGGAATGGGCCCATCAACACCAGAAGGTAGGCCTGAACCAGAGGAATGAGGAGGTCCAGCTAGGAAGGACCTGAGGGAGTGTGCTAGTCAGCTAAAGGGTGACTCATGCCAGGTCCTCTGTCCCTGACTTCTCTGCCTGTTTTGTCCACTCGGCCACCTCTCTGAGTTTTGTAATGTCAGAGAGAGAGAAATGGAACTCCTAGCTCCCCAGAATTAAGGATAATATGAACACCGCCTTCTGTTTTCCAGGTTAGTTTATAGGTCCTTGATCTCCACTTGAGTTGGGCACCTTCTCTGGTTTTATTTTTGTTAAGTTGAGTCCCAAATGTTGTTACCTTGGCTACCTCTTCCCAGAGGATAGTCTTCTGAAAATGATATCTTCCTGGGCTCCTCAATACTGCCCTCTTTTTTCCTTGTATTTAGTTCTAGAAGTGGGGGGAAAAAAGCGAGGGGTGAGGAAGACATGAGAATTTGAGCTTTGTCTCAGGGTGAAAGTAGTGTTACTGTGAAAACTTCCAGGGACAGAAATATAAGATGGGGACATTGTAACCAGCAAATGTATGATGTAGAAGCAAGGGCTGGTCTCTGGGGCAGGCAGAATGGATAAAAACTGACCTGCCGGGCACGATGAGGTCTGTATTTCCTGCATCAGTCTGTCATAACCTTTAAAATCCCAGGGTTAGCCATTCACTCCTTTGGACTGAGAGGCTCATTGGTTTCTGAACATCGTCTAGTTACATAAAAAGTCTAGGAGCACTGAATCTTACGCTGTTAAATGCATAAACTTCTCAGTTTTCCTTTCCATTTGTTTTTTCTCTTGTCAAACACCATGTATTGAGTTTAACCAAGTGTCAGCACTGTGCTCAATACTTGACATACATGATAATTTAATCACACTTGGCACAGTGAGAGACTCAAGGGAACTGAGCAGGGCAGCCATCCGTGGCCTGCTGGTAAATGTTTAACAACCAGCTCTCTGGGGAAAAATTCTCCCTGATTTGTAGCTTACCTATTTCTGTGGTATAAATGTTCTTACCCTGGAGTCTCAGGATCAGCTCTCAGCCCAAGACTCTGCAGATCTTCAGAACTCTCTTTCTGTGTAGCTCTCTGCTCTCCAGTGCTCTGCTCTGGGAACTCCAGCTGCATGGCCTCCCTGGACCCCCAGCTCTGTCTTTTTAATTCACGGGCACTGCTGGGCCCACCTGGACTCCCCCCACCTAAGCTGCAACCTGGAAACTCTCCCAGGCGTTATGCTGAGGCCATAATCGGGCTCACCTCATTTGCTTCCTCTCTAAGGGTTACTTTGCCTCCGTCCTTGAAGTCCAGTGTCTGAAAGCTAGTGCTTCATCTATTTTTCAGACTTTTCAGACAGGAGGGTGTCTGGTCCCTATTACCCAAAAGCTGGTAGAAGTGAAAGTCTTCCGTTTTGATTTGTGACCCCACTTTTATCACTTATGAAATTCTTATATATAATGGGATCTATTTCTGGTCCACTGAGCTGACTACCTAACACCACTACCACACTGTTTTCATTTCTGAGACTCTGTAATAATATGTTATATAATATCTTAAAGGATTAGCAACACCCCATTCCCTCCTTACTTCAAAATAATTTGTTTATCTTTTTAGATAAACCTCAGAATCATTGTGCAAAGTTCTACCTAACCCAACACCCAACTCCCAGACAAATTTTTTGTAACATTTTTATTGTAATTCCATAAAACTTATGCATTAATTTTAGGAAAATTGGCAGCTTCACAATATCAGTCTTCCTATCTAAAAACATGATATATTCCTCTATTTGTCAAATCTCCAGGTCACACAATTAAGGTTATTGTTGCTTTCTTGGATTTAATTTCCTCGTATATTTTCTAATTAATAAAGTTAGTTTATTTAGCTTAATAAAGTATATTTGACTTCGTGTCCATTTACTCTACAGAATGCTTTAATAAAAATCAAATAGTTTTTCAGGTTTTTTGTGGGGAGGGGGAGCTTCTAGGTATGCTATCACATCATCTGCAGATAATATATTTTCTATTTCTCCACCTATATATTTTTATTGCTTTATATCTGAAATTAACCTGAGTTTCCAAATTAATAATATATAATACCAGAGATAGTGAGAATCTTTATTCAGGTTCTGCTTGAAATAGAAATTCTGATTATTTAATAAAGAAACAAACATTGAAGCAGCATATTTTAGAATTAGGCATATTCACTTAATTGAAATGAAGAATATGTGACTCACTTAATATTTTTGGAAGAGTGACATTCATATTTTCTTTACTCTTTGTCACCTGCATCCTTTTCAGTGTTTGCTGGATTTGCCAATGTTTTGGAGACAATTTCAGCAGAAAAAATCCATATTTCATGTACTCTCTAAGGAGGAATTCTGTTTTTGCTATTTCACTACTCAAAAGAAACAAAGATATGATTAGATACATCTGTGTGAAATCATGTTCATTTTTTAAAAAATGGTTTTACAAAATTCATTCTCTTGACTATGTATTTGAATAATAATTTTCTTAACAAAAAATTGGAAATATGGCCATAAAAACATGGGCATCCATAAGATATGAGATGAGAAGAAAGACTCCTGTGGGCGTGCTATTTGAGTAAAACATGCCCAAGGATACGCACACATAGAATAGACTGATGATAGTTTTACTCTACTTATTTATTTCTGAGGGAAATACTGTATTAAATTTTAGACCCAGGAAGGAATCAGAAGGTAGAAAAGATGGTACTTATGTAAGGAGAAGAAAGGAAACTAACGCTCCATAAGCACCTACTCTGTAGCGGGCAATACGCAGGACACACTACAGATGCCATTTCATACTCAGTACAGCACTTTACAGTCGGTTTCATTATTCCTATCTTTTGGAAGAAGAAATAAATGACTTGCAAAGTCACGCATCTAGGAAATGGCAGAGCCAGCACACAAACCTGGGTCTGTCTGGCTCAGATGCCCAAGCTCTTGCCAACAAGACCCAGTGACTTGGACCGAAAGCCTTTCCCTAGCCTCATGTTGCTTTCTCATAATCACGTTACCAAGTGGACCCAGAAGAATGTTTCAAATAACACTGAAGGGCCTTGTGAAGGGGAGCTCCACCCTCATCTTTTGGAGCCTCCCTTATTCCTATCCTTGTCAATACCCTTATCAATATTACTCCTATATCCATATCTTCAGCTTCAATACTTCTTTCGGTCCGAGTCTTCCTTAAGCCCTGCTGTGAGAGTGATATTCAAGAGTCAGTAAATGGCTGGCTCATGTACCACTAGTCGAAAGATGCTGGGAGTCCCTCATTCCACCACCACTTTATTTTTAGATTGAAGTCCTCCCAGATGTGCTACAAAAAACAGGGTTAAAATGGCTAGAATTGCACAGCTTCCAAGCAAAAGCTTCAGAACAAGCTCCCTTGCCCTTCATAAACAGATTTCCAGCCCTCCCTGCAGTGGAGGACCTCCTCGGGCCATCTCAAGCCCATAAAGAGAGAAGAGGGAAATAACAGCAGGTGCTTGCATCTCTTGCTGTTACCTTTCTAGGGTGATGAGACACATAAACAGTAAGCACATTCTCTTCAGCAAGGCTGTTTGGAGGGTTTACCTGGGCGGCCACTGTGCATAAATACAGTACGTTATGCAAACATAGAGGCTGCTACTCTAGTTCTACAAATAGAACAGAGTCTTCCGATTACATTATCGAGGGAGGGAGGGGAATTCTTCATCTTGGAGCACCTTCAACTTTAGGCTCCTAAAATAGAAGAGGGCGCTGTGACCAGGATGTGTCTGAAACACACATATTGTTAGTAGCAATTGGTTTCAAAGAAACTACCATCCTGTTCATTTGCTGCATTTTAGACAAGCTGCTGTCCTCCTCCCAAAGAAGTCTAGGATGTAAGTCTAGGACTTGGTTTCAGAGGAGAGCTAATTATCAAGTCCTCAAAAAGAAAAAACACGTTTTAGCATGACTTGATACCAGGCTACAGTGTCTCCTGGATCATGCAATTACTGTGCAAAGATGACGACAGAAGGAAGCTTCCTACAGAAGCTACGATATTACAATATTTACAATAAATATCTACGATATTTAAAGTTAGATCAGTTGAGATATACTTGACCATAAAAGAAAACATCCAGGTTTGAAAAAAAAGAGTGGTGGTGGTACAATGATTTTTATCCTAACTCCTGCTCCTGTAATTTTTATCATTATAGATCCTAGTTTTTAATACCAATGCTAGGTTCAGCTAAGTGTGAGTATAAATATAAAAAACCCTGCCAGTTATAATTGTAAGACAATTGTGAAATGAATCTGAATTCCAGAGATGTTAAAATGTGGGAAGAAACGTGCCTCAGAATAAAGAAAAAGGACACGTAGAAAAAACTTATTGTTTACTCCCAAAATTGGTTTGCTTCTTTTCAACTAATTTCTTGGCTTCCATATCGACAAGTTAAAGAAACCTTTCAGCCAGAGGTCATTGTACTGTCCTGATACCCAGGCAGAGATGATCCTTGATCGATAGATTACTTATTTTAAAAATGTGGTCATCCTATGAAATCATCAACTGATAAGAATTATTCCCACTTAGGTCTCGCTAAGCACGAATAGGTCTCAATGGGACTTGGACATTTGATAAGCAAAAGACGGTGCCCTGGCCTCACCTTTTCACTGCTTGTATCTCCATATTTGCTTTCTTTAGCTCTGCTGTCACTTGGAGTTTGTTTATAGTTTCTTGTGCTGCACTGAAAAGTAACAGAAATTTGTTAGTTTGTTTTGTGTTGTGTTCTGAGAAACTAAGAAGAAGAAAGAGGGAGGAAAAAAGCAATTTGGTCAGAGTGAGAAAACGAACATTTTAAGAGCATCTACAGATCTCTGGTCATTTTCTCGAAGGAACTCTTCAAAGGCCATTGCGTCTTCTTGAAGCTTGTTTTCTGCTTTTATGAGTTGCCTTTCCTTCGCTGCTATGTGTTCTTCAAATCTTTTAATTGTATTACTTTTGGTTAACAGAGCATACTAGGAATATTGAAAACAGAAGTGCATCAAGAACATTATTCCACATTTCCAGCACATTTTTAGTACATTTCAACAGTCTCATAATAAAGGGAAAAAACTTGCATAGTAAGTGGTCATTTGTACTATTAGAAATAATAGTACACCAAATTTTGGAGCTATGGCCTTTATTTCATGAAGGAATTTTCTTTTTTTTTTTTTAAAGATTTTATTTATTTTTTTTTATTTTTTCCCCCCAAAGCCCCAGTGGATAGTTGTATGTCGTAGCTGCACATCCCTCTAGTTGCTGTATGTGGGACTCGGCCTCAGGATGAACGGAGAAGCGGTGCCTCGATGCGCACCCGGGATCCGAACCCGGGTCACCAGCATCGCAGCACGCGCACTTAACCACCAAGCCACAGGGCCGGCCCATGAAGGAATTTTCTTTTGGGGATAGTTAGAAGGGAGACTAACTCCTCTCTTTCGTTTTTATGAAGAGGCTCAATATTGTTCCAAAATGGCTGTGCCCCACAAAAAGGTATATATCCCTCCAAAGAGCAGATCCACCTGGTATTACCCACAGTGTCCCTCCATTACTTTCTGGGCATTGGGAAATTGGGGTGTCTGCAGCCACAAAGCCTCCTCCAATAGGAAGGACCATGGGAGAATCAGGTTCCAAGGCTGCTATGCCCATGATGTATTCCTCCAAGCCAGCCTCAGGGCAGGGTGTTTACCCAGCCTCAAAGAGCCCTGTTTCAATCCCCAAATACAACTCCTGACTCTAGCTTCTATTTTTTTAGTACAGAATATAAGAATCCACTTGGGTTTTTAATGCCATGCATGAAAAATAAATTTTAAATAAACAAAACTGCTTACATCATAATATAAATGAATTAAAAATATGTGAGATAATTTTAAAGAAACAACAACCAATAATTAGATACTCCAAGTTTATAACCAAAAAAATTTCATTCATTACTTTATTCACCAAGTATTTATTCAGTGCCTACTGTATGCCAGGACTGTTTTAAGTGGTGCTAATAGAGCCATGAAAAAAATAAACAAAATTGCTTTTATGGGGTATACTTTCTAGTAGAGGGGGGAGTGGTTTAAGTGGGGAGATAAGGGGACCAGTGGGCAAGGGCAGGGGGGTACCATTGTGTTTAGCCAAGGAAAGCCTCCCCGATATGGTGAAAATTAAACAGAGACTGGAAGGAAGTAGGGAGCAAATCATGCAGCTATCTGAGGGAGGAATGTTCCTCCCAGAAGGAAGAGCCTCAGTAGAACGAAGAGCCTCCGTGCAAAGGCCCTGAGGCAAGAGCAAGATGGTGTGTCCCAGGAACAGCAAGGAGGCCAGTGTGGCTGGAGCAGAGTGAGCAAGGGGCAGAATGAGGTCAGAGAGAGAGAGAGCTGGGGACCAGATAAGTCACTAGAGGTCCTCAGCAGAGGAGGGGCATGTGTGGAGAATAGGCTCCTACTGCTGTGTGGAGAATAGACTGACTGTAGGGAGCAAAATGGAAGCAGGAGACCAGTGTTTAGAAGTTACAGCAATAATTCATGCACGAAATATTGGTGGCATGGACTGTATACAATGGCAGCAGTGGGGGTCATGACAAGTAGTGTGATTATGGATGTATTCAGAAAAAATGTACTTGAAAGTATATTTGGATGTGGATCATGAGGAGGAGTTGAGGATAACTCCAATATTTTTGGCCTAAGCAATTGGAGAAATGGAATTGCTGTTTACTGAGATGGGGAGCACTGCATGAGCTGCAGATTTGCAGGGCAGGGTAGAGTCTAGCAGGGGCAAAGTCTTGGAAATGTGAAGTCTGAGATGCCTATTGAGCACCTAAGTGCAGATGTTAAGATCTACAGTTGCATTTGTGAGTCTGGAGTCAGGGAAGAGAATCAGACTAGAGAAATAGGTGTGGAAGTTGTTAATGCGGAAGTGGGATTTAAAGCCAGGGGCCTGGAGGAGGGTAGATAGAGCACAGGGTGAGGAGTGAGCCCTGGGGTATTCTGACCTTTGGAGATCAGGGAGAAGAGGAGGAGGAAAGAACACTGTGGAGGAGTGAGCAGCCAGCGATGGGGAGGAACCAAGAAGTAGTGGGTCCCGGAAGCCAGCGGAAGAAAGTGTTTCAGGAAAGAGGCAGTGATTAAATGGGCCAACTGCTGCCAAAGGTAAGTTAGAGGAAGACTGTGAGATGACAATTGGAATTTGGCAACAGGAAGGTCATTGGTAACCTTGACAAGAGTAGTTTTGGTGGAATGATGAGAACAAAAGCCCGATTGAAGGAGAGAATAGGAAGGACAATAGATCTGGGGCACGTAAGGGAAAAATAAAATGTCAAGGTGAAAATTTGGTAATGCTATGCAAGTAGTGTTCTGTTTGGCTAATGCAAGAAAGAAATTATTACCTCAAGCAGAAACCTGTTTCTCTGGTCATTAATAAATTCACGGACAGTCCTTTTGGTGTCTGCACCTGTAAAGAAAATTGAAATAGATTAGTTCACTATTCCTCAAAGATGTCTAAAATAAAAGCTATGTAATTAAATTATTGCATGTGGTATGTATCTGACTTAAAAAAATACTATACCTTCAAATAAACTTCTTTCCTAATCACTCAAAAACTAATTAAAAATAGTAACTATGATTTATTTTGTGTCCATCATATTCCAGGAATTTTATTAGGCACTTTAAATACATCATTTCATTAAATCCTAACAATAATCCCACAAAGGTACTTATTACGATCCCTATCCTGTATTTTAGGTCCTGAAGCTCAGAGATGTCAAGATGTTTGTCTAAGATCACACAGCTAACAAGTGGCAGAAGGGGCATATGACTCCTAAGCCTGTGCTAAATAAGACTGAACTGTTTTAAATCTTAACATTTTAGCCAATCTAGACATAAAACTGAAGTCCTATAAATATGTTTGAGGATAACAAACCAAATTTATGGCAGGAAAAGAAAATATGACAGCTAGCTTGACCATCCAGCAATAGAAAAGACCGAAGTTTCCTTTCAAGTTTTCTTCATTCTGGAAAAATTATACATGGGCTGCATTTCAATAAAGTTTGCTTCGTGAAATACCAACAGAATGCCGTATAGAATAAAGTCTCTTAATAACAATGTAAATAGAAGTAATAGAAATAAAATAGTATTTCCCAAATAACCAGGGAGGCTGTGCTGCACTAGGAGGCCCACAGGCTCTTGGGGTTGTAGTCTGCCTCCACCTTTACCAGCTGTGGGAATGTGAGTAAATTCCTTACCCCCTCCAGGCCTCAGTTTCCTCGTCTGTAAAATGAGGATACTAATTGTGGTAGATTATATTATGTCCCCAAATATTGTCTGCCCCTCCCTGGAAGAAGATTATCTTCTCCCACCCCCATCAATATCAGGCATGGCAGTGGAAATGACCTATGTTGATTCCAAGCAGAGGTTGTAAGAACCACCACCAATTCTTTCTCCCTCTGCCACAACTCCAGCAACGTACCAGATGAGGGCGCTGTTCCTCCAGTGCAGGACTCGATGAAAAGCACCAAGTGGAAAAGTGAATGAGAATAAACCTCTGTTGTTGTAAGCCACTGAAACTCCGCAGTGATTTATTACCACAGCATAAATTAGCCTAAGTGGATCATACTATTACTCTCCACCTCATAGTGGTGTTGTCAGAAGGAAATGGGGCAACATATTATAAAATACATAGTAATTTCTTAATAATTGTTAGGTATTATTATTTTAAAAATACAATTGCAATGAGTAATCACAATTTTTCAAGGTCAATAATAATAGCAATAGTGATTATTATAATCATCAATAACTAGTTCTGTGATGGTGGGTGATGGACAAACAACAAGCTTTGGAGTAAGACAGGCATTGGTTTGAATTCTGCATCCTCTTAGTGACCTTAAATAAGTGAATCAACCTCACTGAGCCATTTTCATCAGATGAGGAGAGGAGGCAAAAACATCTGACAGCACTTCATTGAGAATTAAATAAAATAACATATGTGAAAGTAATAAGCACCTAGTTAGCACACAGTTTTCATTGTAACACTTAAAAACACTTTTTATTATAGAAATCATCAACCTTCATAAAAGTAGAGTCATAAAATGAACCGCCATGTACCTATCACCAACTTCAACATTCAACATTTTACCAATCTTGTTTCATCCATTGCCACCTCACATTTTCCTCTCACTGGAATATTTTAAAGCCAAGCCAAGCCATTGTTATCATTTCATCCGTAAATACTTTGGTATGTAACTCTATCAGATAAAAAAGTTTTAAAACATAGTCATAGTACTACTGTCATCCCAAACAAAATTAACAGTTCTTTAGTATCATCTTATACCAAGTTTGGGTTCGAATTACCCCGGTTGTCTCAAAAATAACTTTTTAGAATTTAAAAAATTAAAATCTAAACAAAGATCAATTTGGTTGATATGGCTCCTAAAGTTGATTTTTTTTTTATCTATAAAACAGCCATTCTCCCTTCCCCACACACACTACCTTTTTTCCATGCCATTTTTTTGTTTAAGAAACCAGGTCAGTTTCCCTAGAGAATTTCCCACATAATGGATCTGGCAGATTGCATCCTCATGGTGTTATTTAATATGGTCCTTGATCTCCCATATTTACCTCATTCAATTCAGGTTCAATTTACTTAAACATTTTTAATAGAAAAAGAGAATAAAGATGCTTACTGTTGCTTTCATTTGGTCACTTATGATGGGTCAAATTGAAAATAAATTTCAATATCCAAAAAAATCCTATACTGTCAATTGACTAAATATTATAGCCATGCTCACCATCTCAGGCTACTTGAACATGGTCCAGCCTGGCTGAGTTGATGCAATTTTATTCTTTAACTCTAAATAGACTGGTTATAGTGGGTTTCCCATTTTGGCTCCTCTAGCTGATCAGGCAGCTCTTTTGGCCAAGAGACCATGTATGATAAAACCCTCCCCAAAGCACTAGTGTTCCTCAACACCAGAGCACCTCATCACTCCCTGGGGAGGTAAAGACCAGTCTGAGGGATCTGAGTCTACAGAGAGCTGCAACTGAGCAAAGCTATCCAAAGGTGATGCCCGTTGAGAGCAAAACCAAAGTCAGGCTTGGTGCATGAAGCTAGAAACGGCCCTTCTGTCACGTAGCCTAACAGATCTGCCTATGACAGCTGCCCATGTAACGTCTTTGATGGTAATCTAGCAGTTCACCATTATCGCATACACAAAAATAAAATTACCTACGCTCCCGAGGAAGGGGTCTCTTCTCATTTTACTATCATGTAGGCTTGTTTTCAATCAGAATTCAGGCAGGAAGTGTAAGGTTGGGGAATGGGGGTCCCACTCAAATCAACTCCTGATTGGAAATAGAGCCTGAGAGGGACTTCTTTATTTTAAATGAAAATGTCCAAATTGCTTCTCTGTGTTATCAGCTGACACTAACAACCTGATTGCCATTGCTGACAAAGCCCAAATTGCCTTGGATAATAACCATTTTACTATTTCCTTTTTAAGAGTCTACCTGTGTCATTTACTTTTAAGAGACCAGTAACTCCATTAGCCAGCAGTGGTGATGATTAGGGTCACCTGCAAAGCCATACTTCCTAGTTATCTCAGAACTATTGGAGTGGCAAGGATTTTTGAAGTCAGCCACTTTGTGTAGAACTCTGTCTAAAACATATCACCCGTAATTTTAAATGTTCTTGATGACTTAGGGTTCACCATTCTACAGAGGTGGACTATGAGACCCAAGATTGAACCTAGATACACCCTGTCAGTGGCATAGTCACTGATACCACTATGTTGCTATCATTTGCTGCTTTTTCATACAATTATAGTGCAGAATATGCACCTCCGAGATCTTCTAAATAAGTTAACACGGCTTCCCTTTTCTACATTAATTATTGAATCCGAAGTTCTTTCCTAAGTGGTTTTCCTGTTCTCTGAAGATTTTTTTCCACAATTTGGGAAAGTGCCTGGACTTTGGGGGCCATAGAAATGTTTTTTAAGTTACCATAGCAAATCCTGGGCACTTGATGTATGTTCATTCTTCCTTCCTTCCTTTTAAATTTTTAATTAAAAAATTTGGATGGGGGCCAGCCCTGTGGTGTAGTGGTTACGTTCTTGTGCTCCGCTTCAGTGGCCCGGAGTTCAGGGGTTCAGATCCCAGGCGTGGACCTACGCACCGCTTGTCAAGCCATGCTGTGGCAGGCGTCCCACATATAAAGTAGAGGAAGATGGGCACGGATGTCAGCCCAGGGCCAATCTTCCTCAGCAAAAAAAGAGGATTGGCAAGAGATGTTAGCTCAGGGCTAATCTTCCTCACCAAAAAAAAAAAAATTTGGATGAGACTCATTCTGGGGGAAGATTTTATGACTCCATCATCCTAGCATTAATCACTTTAACTTTGTTAGCTTCAAACTGCTTTCTGTCTCATTTGTAGGCACTTCTTGATCTGATAAGTAGGAAATGCCCATGACATTTTGATTACCAGATTGCCCTCTTTCATGGAGCAATAATTCCTTTTTTTTCCTTTGAGGAAGATTGGCCCTGAGCTAACGTCTGTTGCCAATCTTCCTCTTTTTTTTTAAATTTTTTCTCCCCAAAGCCCTCAGTACATAGTTGTATATCCTAGTTGTAGGTCCTTCTAGTTCTTCTGTGTGGGATGCTGCCTCAGCATGGCTCGATCAGCAGTGAGTAGGTCCACGCCAAGGATTCGAACTGGTGAACCCTTGGCTGCTGAAGCAGAACGTGTGAACTTAACCACTGTGACGCTGGGCTGGCCCCATGGAACAATAATTAATAGCTTGTAGTATTTTAACATGTGGCCTTCAAAGGTCATTAAAACCTTACTCAAAGATTATGTTTTTGCAACAACAGGCAAACATTTAATTCTATTAGCTTTCTGATTCTGGATATATGAGATCTATGGCCCTGACAATCAAGACTTCTCTTTGGAAAAAAGGTTCCATATTTCTACACCTAGAACTGAGATTAAATGGCTAGAGCCATTACCTTTAATACTATATCATTTTGGCAGTGACTTTCTTCCTTAGAGCCATGAAAATGAGAAACAGTCTATTTCTTAGAAAAGTTTTCTTATTTAAAATAGATTTTTCTCCCGATTCTCAACTCCCATTTACAAAGACCTCCCTCACTATATTATGAGACAGCATACTTCGTTTTTCTCACCTCCAGAAAAGCCCCCAAACCTGACATTAACAGTAAACATTCAAAAAAACATTCTTAAACAAACAGTAACTGAGACTTACCTTCTGTTAATCTGAGAATAAGAGTGGGATCTAGCCCAAATTTTTCAAATGAGCCACCAGCTCTGTCAGAGTAGGATGTTATTTGGCCCAAGTGTGAACGACTCTTCATCCGGGATGAAAAAGTGGACTTTTCATAGACTTTCATGTTGCGGTTCATAAATTTTTCCTGCCCAAGTGGAAAAGTTTAAAAGAATTTCTTTTTATTTATTTATTTATTTATCCCCCAAAGCCCCAGTAGATAGTTGTATGTCATAGCTGCACATCCTTCTAGTTGCTGTATGTGGGACTCGGCCTCAGCGTGGCCAGAGAAGCGGTGTGTCGGTGCACGCCCGGGATCCAAGCCCAGGCCGCCCGCATCAGAGCGCACGCACTTAACCGCTAAGCCACGGGGCCAGCCCTAAAAGAATTTCTAATATACCAAAATAATGTTGTCTTAAAATAGTGATCATATATAAAATATCATTTGCAACAAGTCCTTTTGTCATTACTAATGCGTTATACAAGCAACCTTAATTTCCTGTCTTTCGAGGGCTGTGTATAGTTTTCAATCCCTTCTTGTATGAGGCTGAGCACAAATATGAAAACATTTGACCTTTAATAAACATGTATGTCACAAACACGAGACTGGAAAATGTTGTTCTGGCTTTATTTTCACAATCTTGTCTTGCCCAAAATGCAGGTAACTTGGAAATTCCATTGATTTGAAAGGATTGGTTCTGTGGAATTGAACACTTGAGGGGAAATGGACCTCCCCAGTAGACATAAAAAAAAATCAGGATTCCAATTTCATGAATCTTTTCTCAATTTAGTTTTGGATATTTTCAATAAAACTATAGAACATGTGCATAAAACCATCACCTTACAGTTGAATCAGTTGTTGGACATTTCTAGATATTTCCCTCATTCTAATTAGGATTTTTAAAAAAAATTCTGTAATCAACCTTTACCTCTAGGAATTAGGAAAGCAAACCTCATGAAATCTGAACCATGTCATGTGAGGTATGATCATGCAAGTAGTGAGCTTAACTGCAAGACACAGCTGGAAATTTAGCCTCATCACTGATGTAGCTTCAAACCAACTAATTCTAAAATGACACGCCCTCCTCCACTTTTATTCCTTCTTCCTTCCGCCAGCCCCCTCCCCAATACACACATATACATTCTCTTATCTGTATCTGTGTGGCAAATTCTGACTTATTCTTCACAATTCAGCTCCTGTTAGCCCCTCAGTAAAGCCTTTGTGCACACACACGCATGCACACACTCCACCATCACCCTCTTCTCCGTCTTCCCAACAAAGATGGGCACCCCTTTCTCTACATTTCCTTTGTACGCCTCTTTTACTGTATTTTGTCGACTCTAAGATGCCATTTATTGTAAGATGCACTATGGTTTTATGCACTGCCAATGCTGTATGACATCCCGTTTATGTAAGCTGGATCCCCCTTTCAGAAATGTGAAAATGTGCAAAAATGTGGGCATCAGAATCAATGAAGTAGGGCATACTGTACTCGTCACAGCAGACTGTAGTGTGTCTGTCATCCCCCCACAGGCGGTGATCGTTAGGTCCCTACAGGGCGCTCCTCTCGTGCGTGTTCGCACCATCTCCCAGCACAGCAAAAGTGATGGATAAGAGGATCTGATTCTAACATTAATTGAGATTGTGATATTAATAAAACCTTACCTTTTTCTTTTCTGCCATTTCATTTTCTTTGAAAAGAAAGAGATCTTTGAAAAAGATCCTATACGGACTGCTCTTTTTGATTGAGTCATCGTTTACTTTATCTGTTAAAAAAAAAAGAAAAAGAAAAATTTCTGTCATCTCTCCTCTGTTGACTGGAACAGCAAAGCTCCCACTAGCCAGAGCAGAGTAAAAGTGATGCTTGGGTCTCTGAGGAGGAGGACACGGGCAGCCTCACCTCCCCAAATGAGACAGAGATGCAAGGCCTGAATCTCAGGGGCAGAAGCCACAGCTTCTCTCTCTGTTTCCCATGGCACCCAGCATAGTGCTTAGTGCTTCAAGGGGGAAGAGTCGACACTTGCTGTGTAAATAGATAAGGGGCCTTTTACAAGATAGTGGGATCATATTTTGAGATATTAGGATGTTGCTTCTTCCCACCACTACAAACATAACCACAATTACCCTTACACCACCATGTTGTCAGCAATAGACACAGCCAATACCCTTAGGGAGATCCCTAGGCCAGGCTAGAGTGTCTTAAACAGGAAAGTCAAAGATAATAACAAGTGTTGGTGCAGATGTGGAGAAATTGGACCCTCATACACTGCTGGTGGGAATGCAAAATGGTGCAGCCACATTGGAAAACAGTCTGGCAGTTCCTCAAAAAGTTAAACACAGAGTTGCCATGTGACCCGGCCATTCTACTCCTAGGTATGTACCCAAGAGAAATTATGTCCACACAAAAACTTATATATGAATGTTTATAGCAGTATCATTCATAATACTCAAAAGATGGAAACAATCCAAATATCCATCAACCGATGAATGGGTAAACAAAATGTGACACGATAGAATATTAATCAGCCATAAAAAGGAATGAGGTATGATACATACTACAACATGGATGAACGTTAGAAACATTATATTAAGTGAAAAAAGCCAGTCACAAAAGGTCACATATGATATGATTCCATTACATTCTATGAAATGTCCAGATTAGGCACATCCATGGAGACAGAAGATAGATTAGTGGTTGCTTAGGGCTGGAGGTGAGAGGGGGGATAGGGGGTGATGGCTAAGGGATGCAGAGTTCCTTTTTGAGGTGATGAAAATGTTTTAAAATTGACTGTGGTGATGGCTGCTCATATCTGTGAATGTACTAAAAACCATGGACTTGTACACTTAATAAATAAGAAGCCTGGCTATAAAGAGAGAGAGAGAGAGAGAGAGAAAAGTCAATTGAATTTCTGAATAGACTTTTTGTTTTTATTCATAAAATCTGAAATGATAAAAAGTCTTTTCTTTTTTTCTTTCTTTCTTTCTTGCTTTCTAATGCTTGGCAGGGGGTGGTGGGTGGGAATCTTGGCTTTAAATAGCAATAGTCAAAGCCAGGAATATTGGGAGATTGGAGTTGACACCTGAAATCAGAGAAAGGGAAAGGATGTCTGAGGACACATTCCCCACCTCCAGCACCCACCTCCCCAAAAAGCTCCAAATAAGAAACTCAGTGGTTCTGGCCCGAGCCAATGGAATCACTTTGGCTCCTCCACCACTGCCCCCCCCACGCCCATCCCCCAACCCTGCTTCGGGATTCCAACTTAATTGGTCAAGCCAGCATCAACATCAGAATATTTGGGGAGCGCCACCCCCCACCCCCCCCACCCAAGTGGCTGTAAATGTATAGCCAGGGCTAGGAGTCAGTGGACCAGAGCTTAAAAAGTTGGAGAAATGGCCATCTTCCCAGGGATTCAGTTGGGAAAGTGGGAGCATCTGGAATTACAGAAACCCAAGGCACATTTTTTTTGTAGGTAGTGGGTTAGGGAGAGAGAAAATGGCAGCGTGGAAGCCTGGGGTTCAACATGGAGTGTGGAGTGCTCTGATCACCTCCTGTTCATCTTGTTGGTGAAGGAAGAACCCTCTGCCCTAAATAGTACGAGATGGCTAAACACCCAACACCCAACACTGGACAGATGAGATTGACAGCAGTTTATTAGTCACATACACTCACAGCCCAGGGGAGAAGGACACCATGCAGGGGCCACGTCTCGACTGCACTCAGGAGCAGAGTGAACCAGCAGTGGTTGTGGGAGGGGGAAGGCAACACATTCACAGGCTCCAGCAATTAGAATATTGGGGGATACATTATGCTGTCTGCCGCACTCACATAGTCTCACCCCTGTTTCAGCCTTGCCCCTTACTGTCACTCTATTTGCCCTAATTCTTCTATTCATTCCTCCATTTATTCAACAAATACCTGTTGAGCCTCTAATATGTGCCCAGCACTGTTCTAGGCACTGATGACACACTGGTGAACAAAGCAGAGATTGAGCACCCTATATTGGTGTGGGGAGGGGTGGGGGGAGTAGTTGGTAACAGATAATTTAAAAATCAACATAATAAAGTAGTAACTTTTATAATATGCTATAAAGTTCTGTGGAAAAATATAAAGCAAGATATGGGAGGGGGAGGCTGGGGTGAGCAGTTTTAAATGGAGTGGTCAGGATGGGCCTCATTGATAAAGTGACCTTTAAAGGAATTGAAGGAATTAGCCAAGTGGATAACAGCCAGTGCAAAGGTCCTGAGGCAGGATCATGTTTGGTGTGTGTTTAAGAAAGAGAAAGGAAGCCAGGGTAGCTGGAATGGAATGAAGGAGGGGGAGGGCAGTAGAGAAGCAGATTATGTAAGGTCTTATGGACAATCTTGAGGGCTTTGGCACTTACTCTCAGCAAAATGGAGAACCACTGGAGGACTTTGAATAGAAAAGTGATGTGGTCTGACCTATTCAATACTATTGCAGTTTGGTGAGAATAGACTCAGAGTGGAGAGACAAGGATTGAAACCAGATATCAGTTAGGAGGCTATTGTAGTAACTCAGGTAAAAGGTGATGGTAGCTCAGATTAGTATGGTAAGAGTGGAGATGGTGAGAAGAAGCTGGGTTCTGGGTATGTTTTGAAAGGAGAGCCAACAGAATTCCCCAGTGGATTGAATACAGGGTATTTTCCCTCAAGTCTGCCTGCCTGCCTTCCTTCTTTCCTTCCTTCCTTCCTTTCTCTCTCCCTTTCTCCCTTTCTCTCTTCCTCTCTCTCTCTCCTTTTCTCCCTTTCTTTCTTCCTCCCTTCCTTCCTTCCTCTCTCTCTCTTTCTCTCTCTCTCTCCCTCCCTCCCTCTCTTTCTCTCTCTCTTTCTTTCTTCCATCTGTTCTTCATCCATTCTGTTTGTATTGTTTCTGGACAAGCTTTTATTTTTCTTAACATATTTAGAGTATTTACCAGTATTAAATATTTTTTTAGAAAGCATAACTTTTAATGTCTCCATTAAAAGATCTATCATATGGATGTATTCATCTTTGAACCCCCAGCACCTAGGCTGGCAATATAAGGGGCACTAAAAGATTTCAGAATTGAATTTACAAACTGCATAAAATAATTTTAAGAAACATTAAAGAAGACCTAAGTAAATGGAGAGATAAGTCAAGTTCCTGGATAGAAAGACATGATTTCATAAAGATGCCAATTCTCCACAAATGCTCAATGGCTTCATAGTAATGCAAATACACAGCCCAACAGGAGTTTTTAAAAAAATAGAACCTCATACGTAAATTCCAAAATTTAAAAGGAAGAACAAAGAGACAAGAATAGTCACAACCCTGCTGAAGGAGAAGAGCAGGGAGGGAATATGGCCCTGCTATATGTCAGGAGTCCTTATGGAGCTACAGTAACGGGAAAGACAGAGTCACTAATGGAAGAGAATGGAAATCTCAGAAACATATTCACACATGGGGAAAAGAGAGACTGTTCAATAAGGAAGCTGGAAAAAAATTGTTACTCTCAAGGAAAAAAGATGAAATTGGATCTTCACATCACGTACAAAAATCAACTACTGATGGATAAGGACAAAACTGTCAGAAATAAACCTTTGAAACTAATAGTAGAACATATAGGTTAATATCATTTAGATTTTGGGATGGGGAAGATTTCTTAAACAACACAAGAAGTATTAATTATAGAAGAAAAGATGGATAGATTTGACTATATTGAGGACTTTGTTCATTATGAGATACCATAAACAAAGTGAAAAGTTAAATTAAAACTGGGAAAAGACATCTGCACTACACACAATTGACAGAATTGGGATCTACCGTATTTACAGAAGTACAAGAGAAGTAAGAGAAGCACTAATAACCCAGGAGAAAAATTTAAGAAAGAATTAAACAAGTATCTTCCAGAAGAAGAAACACATATGGCCAATAAACATATGACAAACTGTTCAACTTCATTAGTTATCAGAGAAATGCAAATAAAAACCATAATGATATCCCAGTTCCACCCATTTCATTGGCAAAAAATTAAGAAGTCTGATGATACCAAATGTTAGAGAGGAGATGAGTCCACTAGATCTCTGACACATTGCTGGTACACTTGTGACTGGGCACAACTACTTTGGAAAACACTTGGATATTATCATATGAAGTTGAATATTCACCTAGCATGAGATTTGACAGTTCTATTCCTAGGTATATATGCAAGAGAAATTCTCTCATATGTACCAGGAGATGGGTACAAGAATGTTTATTAGCAGCTCTGTTTTTAATAGCAACAACCTGAAACAACTCAAATACTTACAGGAGAGTCAACAAATAAACTGTGGTACATTCACACTGTGTGATATTATACAGTGGTCACAATAAATGATCTACAGGACAGAACAATATGAACGAATCTTAATATATAGTGCTAAGTGAAAAAGTCTCAAAAGATTATAGTCAGAAGGATATTATTTTTAAAAAGTTAAAATAACTAAAGTAAAAAATATTTTCTTTAAGATTACATATAGGCAAGATAAAACTATGTAAATAAAAAGGCTAAGAAGTAATCTGCATAGAATTCAGCGTGGTGGCTACCTCAGGTGAGAGAAGATAAGGGATGGGGTGTAAGATATGTCAAGATCTTAGCTTTTTTGGGTTTTGGTGGGTTCAGAGGCTCATATAATGTTATTAATATATAATTTTATTAATTTAAAAACAGGGTTATGGAGCTCAGGGAACTGGTCCCAAATATGCTGGTTGCTCATACCACTTTTTATACTGCGAGTGATAAAGTCCTTGGTCTCTGACCCAAGAGTTTTGTATCTCCTGTCAGCCTCAAGGAAACTGTGGCAAGCTAACTTACTAGTTTGCAAGTAGGGGAAAATCTTAGATCCCTCACAGTTCTTGACAAAGTAATAAAACCCTTTAATGAAAAAGGAATCCTCCAATATATAATTGGTTTTTTTCAGTTAGCAATATATTTAGGAGTTCTTTTTACATCAGCACATATATATTTACCTCATCAAAAAGAAAAAAAGCTTTCTAGTATCCCATTCCTGGGATGTATCATATTTTACATAACCAATTCTATACCAATGGACATTATGGTTGATCCCAGTCTTTTGCTACTGTAAGCAATGCTGCAATGAATATTCTGTATACATATCATTAATCACTTGTGCAAACATGCCTTAGAATAAATTGCCAACATGGCTCTGTTTAAAGGCTACTAGTCGTCTCCTCATACCCATTCTCTCTTCTTCTGTAGAAATAGAGCCCTTACTTCTAGCTTGGCACATGGGCACCCAGAGTAAAGACTACATTTCTCATCCCTTGGTGCTAGATATAGCCATGAGACTAAGTTCTAGAAAAGGGGATGTCAGGGGAAGTGGTGAGTGTAACTTCTAGGAACTGTCATAAAAGGGAGGGGCCTCTTCTTCCCTCCCCTTTGCTCCTCTTTGCTGGCAGGAATATGGGTGTGATCACGGGTGCAGAAGCAGCCACCATGGATCAAGAATATAGGCCTGCAACAAGCTGGAAGAAGCCCGGGCCCCTGATGTGAGCCTCCACACGGGCCCTGGAATGCTTATGTCCAGAGGTCGTTACCTAAGAGAGAAATAAACTTCCATCTCGTTTAAGCCTCTGTTGTTTTATATTTTCTGTCAGTTGCAGCCAAACATTTTAATTCTAAACACAGATAGGGCCAAACTGTCCTTCAAAGAGGATGCCTACAGAGAGCCTGTTACCTGGAACACACTCTTGGTGTTATCCAATTTTTAAATCTCTGTCAAATTTATAAGTGGAAAAAAGTTATTCTTGTATACTGATAAATACGGATTCCTTGTATGCTTGGAAAGAAGCAGGAAGGTAAGGAAGGAAAGGGCGGTGAAGGAAAGGAGGGGACAGATTTTGATAAAGTGTGGTTGTTCACGTCCTTTATTGTGAGAAATGATTCAGTTAATTGTTTTACATCATGAAGGACTCTAGCAATCTAGCTAAATATGACAATTCAATGCCCCTCTGACTTCAAGATTTTTCTTTTCAGAATTAAAAAGTAGAAGAGAACCTTCTCAGCAGCTAGTTTATAAACTCTTTACATAGAGAGACCATGTCCGATACTTATTGTGTAACTTTTTCCTTTTCTTACTCTCCCAATCCACCATGGGGACCAACCCCACCAGGCACAAAGCAAGAACTTCTTGACTGATTTCTTCTTTACCTCCAGAAGTCAGTGATGGTGGCAAAAAATGTGATGACATGTTGTCTCCTGGTCCTGTCCAAAGAAAAGGAAACACGTTTTTAAAAATTCTGCAAACATGGCATAAAGCAGCTAAATTCAACTGCCAGTGACTCCCAGATAACCTTTAGTGCTTTTTTTTGTGTGTGTGTGAGGAAGATCAGTTCTGAGCTAACATCCGTGCCAATCCTCCTCTTTTTGCTGAGGAAGATTGGCCCTGGGCTAACATCTGTGCCCATCTTCCTCCCCCCTATGTGGGACGCCGCCATAGCATGGCCTGACAAGCGGTGCCTCACCGGGATCCGAACCCCGGCCACCAACAGCGGAGCGCACGCACTTAACCGCTGCGCCACGGGGCGGCCCCGCCTTTAGTGCTTTTAAAAGCAGTGCACACACAATCTCCTTGACCAGCAGTTCCAATTCTAGAAACTCATCCCAAGAAAATAATCAGGTAAGTGAGCAAAAAGGTATGGACTACAATAATGTTTATCGACATGTTATTTAATAAATAGGGAGTTGATTAAATAACTATGGTATACCCATAAAACGGAAGGCCATGTGGCCGCTTAAAACGATGCTGTAGTCACTATTTACCTCTGTTCACTATATGAGTAAAAAACAAAATATTTCAAGAGGGTAGGAACAGTGTGGATAAAAAACACATGCCAGGGCTGGCCCCCGTGGCTTAGTGGTTGAGTGTGCGTGCTCCGCTTCTGGCGGCCCGGGTTCGGATCCCGGGCGCGCACCAACGCACTGCTTCTCTGGCCATGCTGAGGCCACGTCCCACATACAGCAACTAGAAGGATGTGCAGCTATGACATACAACTATCTACTGGGGCTTTGGGGGAAAAAATAAATAAATAAATTAATTAATTATTAAAAAAAAAAAGAAACTGATTTAAAAAAAAAAAAAAAAACATGCCAAATCAGAGAGGTGTTTGAAAAGTTGTTCACCAAACATTAATAGTGGTTATCTCTGATTTCGAGCAATCTCTCCTTTCATTTTCATCAGATTTGGGATTAGAATTAGGTGAATGAGGCACTCAGCTGCAAAATTTAAGGATGTGCGCCCAAAACTCAGTTATGAAGATAAATAACATGTTAACGCAATTTTTTAAAAAAATTCAAAACCGGGGCCAGCTCGGTGCCATAGTGGTTAAGTTCAAGTGCTCCGCTTTGGTGGCCTGGGGTTCATAGGTTCGAATCCCAGACGTGGACCTACGCACCACTTGTCAAGCCATGCTGTGACAGTGTCTCATATAAAGTAGAGGAAGATGGGCACAGATGTTAGTCCAGTGCCAATCTTCCTCACACAAAAAATAATAATAACAATAATTCAAAATCAACGCAGGAAAAAAATCCATGATAAAATGTTAAATACAGACAGGATCTGACTGTGCACTTATATGACCCTGAGTGAGGGCCTCCCTTGCCAGACCCTCATCCCAGCCCACAGATCTTGTCTTTATTTAAAATTTTGATATTTTGTTCACTGTGGATTTTTTGCATTAATTTATATTTTTTAAAATAATTAATTAAAATGTTTATTTTGATTACTGAGTTTTTGCCTCTCCCTTTAAATTGTGCACCCAAGGCAAGTGCCTCACTTGCCTCACCCTAATCCTTATCCTGAATTTTTATACTGTTTTGTATCATTCAAATTTCTCAATAAACTTGTGTAATTTTTACAATGAAAAAAATAACAATATTTTCATTTGGGGAAAAAAAGGATATTCAGGATTTTATAAAAATGGTGTGCCCACAACAGGAACAATGAATGGGACAAAACATCCTTTTTCAGGCTGCCCATTTAAATTTATGCCTCAGTAATCTCAAAGAGCTGTGTTTAAGAGCTAAAAGGCTCATGAGGTCTGTAGCAGGTGAATAAGAACACAGACTTTGGAGTGGACAAACCTGTTGGTTTGGTATTTACAGATGTGTGAGCCAGTTCATTCAACATTCAAAAAATATTTATTGAGTACCTACTATGTGCCAGGCTGGGTGCTAGAGACAGGGCAATGAAAAAAAAAGAACAACAAAAAAGACAAAAACCATTGTCTTCACAGAGCCTACATTCTAATAACAGCATCTCTGAGCCTCAGGTTCCTAGTCCATAAAATGGGAATAATAGTTCCACTCTCAAGGCTTTTATGAGGATGCAACGAGGCAACATATAAAAACAACCATCAGGGTGCCTAGAATACAGACCGAACTCAGTAAGTGGGAGATATCATGTGCTAATATTTACCAATTAACATGTGATTTTACTTCCAATGATTATAAAAACAAAGATAAAAAAAAATTATATTGAAGTTATAAAAGAGAAAAAGATTAATAAAAATCTACAACATTATTATACTTTTTCAGATTACTGAAGAGTTTTTCACAGGCATTGGGTTCATTCTGACAAATGGAAAAGAAGGGTTGGTGAAGAATTGATGACAATCTGTTGGGTTGATTTATTTGGAATCTGGAGGGCTAATGATAAACATTTGTGAGAGATTTTCTTAAATTTACACTCTGCACTCATCTCCCCCTAAGATTCTGCTCACTTCTTTCTTGTTATACTTTTTGCTCCTTCAATCCTTCTATCTGAATTCACTCCCCTACCCATGCCCACGCCTATTCCCTTTATCCTAAAAGTCTATCTACAATAAACATCTTTATCCACGGCTTCTGGCACTCTCTTACTCATAGAAAAACTGGAAGTTCTCATCCCTCTAAGCCAACTGCTAGTAGCAGATACCTGCTCTCAGTCCATCTCTCCGGTAATTCATAGAAGATGTAATGGAATCAATAGTTTCTAGAAGTTGTCATACTTCTGTACTTTCATATGCATCAATCTCCCTATTAATTAACGAAGGGTTGGTGAAGAACATAAGAGAGCACAAGAGAGGCAGCCATTCTTAGGAAAGGATTATAAAATTCTCTGAATTAAACCAATATGATATGCCAACCCAGGACAAAAAAGTCAAAGCCAGTGAATGTCTGCTGTGCTAAACAAAAATAGCATGATGACTAAACAAAAATCTCTGTACCCAAAGAGAGAGAAAATGTCGTTGGATTGCATAGTGAATGCCTGCAAATTCACATCTAAAACACATGTTTAAATCCAACTTCTGACGAATGAAAAAGACAAAGAACTCAGAAAAATCAGAGACTTAAAATGGTGGTGTGTGATTGCAAGCCATCACTTTTAGAGGTGGCATAGGCTAGTGATTAAGAGCATAGACTCTCGTTATGTTCCTTAATCCTCACACTTCAATTTCCCCATCTTTCAAAATGAATGATAAGAACGGCACCTACCTCGTGGATTGTTAGATGAGTTAATGTTTGCCCTGCCCTTTGGGTAGCCTCAGGTGCATAGTAAATGCCACATAAGTGTAAGCCCATGGAGGAAACACTCCAAGAAGGGAAGATCCTTGGTATGTTTGAGGAACAGCAAGGGGACTAGTGGAACTTAAGCACAGTGAACAAAGGGGAGAGTGACAGTTGAGCTCAAAGAGATAGCAAGGGCCCTGGAGGTCATTTACTCGGTGAAAGGAAAATCATTAAATGAATCACTCTGACTGCTGAGCTGAGAAGAGACTATAAAAGGGGATGAGGGTCCAATAGGGAGACCTGTTAGGAGGCTACAGTCATTGGGAGGCAAGAGATAATGGGGTCTCTTGGGATAGCAGTGGAAGTGGTGAGAGGTGGTCAGATTCTAGATATATTTGGAAAATAGAGCCTACATGACTGGCTGATGGTTAGGATGTGGGGTATGAGATAAAGAGCCCAGGAAATAAAGGACGGAGTTGCCATCAACAGAGACAGAGAAGGCTGTAGGGGAAGGGAAGATCAAGGGTTCAGTTTGGAACATGTTAAATTTGAAATGTCTAGTAGACGTCTAAGGGGACATGGATGTAAAATACACTGTTCTTCCAAGTCAACACCATGCTTGTTGATTTAGTTCATTCTTGCATTCCTCTAATGTTATGCAATTATGCGTGGTCACTGAGTCAGGTCCTTTGATGCGTATCATTACAGGGGCAGAATGAATGACATCGTGGAAAGACCCTGGTCTTTGGGGGCAGGCAGGTTTGAGTCCTGCCTCTGACTCTTATCAGCTTTTTCCCTTAGGCCTACCCAATTACAGTCAGTGCACCTTGGGGTCTTCTTCTCTCAAGTGTGGACACTAATACCTTTCTTACAGGCTTGTGGCAATTTTCAAACACAGGTAATGTACGAAAAGTGCCTACTCACTCTATCGCTTATACAAATAATTGCTTCTACTTTCTTCAAAGCAGCTGTCCGGATCTGTCCTCTTTCTAGTCCACTCTGTCTCGTGAATAACCTCCAGCAGCTGACAAGAATAAGAGGGATAACTGACAGCTGGCTTTCGTAAGAAAGAACTAAAGTTCTTGAAACCGGGCCATTTGAGAGGAATCTACCAGCAATATCGGTGCAAATTTGGGGAACCTGCTGCACCTTAGTGCAGATTCTTAACATTCCAAGCTTCGTGGAAGTGGAGAAAGAGGAACGGGCTTTTATAATGTCCAAACATAAAGTCCCAGACCAACTCTCAAGTTAACAATAACAATTTCCAGCAGATATTATTCGAAGCAGTTCGTGCTTGATTTTCTCTACAACTCAATGAAAATGGATTTCCAGATTCTCTCAATAAGAGATAAAAAGCTTTGTTTATCTTCTGTACGCAAACGAAGATTTAGACAGATTCTCTCAAACCAAATGCCTTTCAACTTTTTCCTGCTTCCTTCCTGTCCACTTGGACAAACACTAGGGGAAAGAGCTGTGAACTGTGTCCTTGTTCTATTTTTTGTTTACCTGAGAGCCAGGACCCACTAGGTCCTCGGCCCGCTCAGTGACCTCTCGATTAGGTCAGAAGCGGAGCAGGATGATGAGGAAATTACCTTCAGTTTGACCTTTAAGGCCCTGCTGGCGTCAAGCGAGTTATTTTGTGTGGATTTTTCTGTTGACATTTCTGACTGCCGCTTTTGCAAACCGAAAAAATAACTGGAG